GCCATATTGATCAAAATAACTGGTCTACTCTGGCCTCCAATCAGGAGGTCTGGAGACACATCATCTATAACACTGCTGAGGCTTTTGAGAGAGCACACAGGATCACCTTTGAGGAGAAAAGACAACACAGAAAGAATCGTGCCTTGCAGAATATACCACCTAAGGAGTTTTTCTGCTGTGCCTTTTGCAACAGAACATGTCTATCTCATATTGACCTTTTTAGCCACCAGTGTGCTTGCAACAAACGTGGGTAGAGTGAAACAGGAGGCCAGGCCCAAAAGAGTTAACTAAGAAATTTGGGCCTGCTAACAAGCTACCAACATCCAAAATGATCTGTGCTTGTTCTGTTCTACTTACTGGACCAAAGCTTAAGAGAATAGTACAGGAACATGTAATAGGCCTAGAAGCAATAAATTAGAAATACAACAGGATCAGGTAGACATTTGAATAGGAGAAATAGGCCTGGAGCCAGGGCTTTTTCCAAGCTTCAGTGAGCGGGTCAAGAACAATGGAAAAGAAGAAGGGTCAAGCTGAGGAAGATGAGTTGAAGCCCCCAGACCCATGGAGGAAGATGGGAACTACCCTCCGAAATGGGGAGCCAAGAGAAGCACCGCCCCAAGCCCCGCCTGAGCTCCGCCTATACTCCGCCTAATATTAATATGCATAGTAGATGTTGTAATCACTTGAATATGCATTTAATCACAGCTGAAGATTGTATAAAAATGCTGATTTTGTGTGAAGCCTTTGAGCAAGTTTGTCCAGCACGAGCTGGCTTGCTCCCAACGTTGAATAAACAAGTACCTTGCTGCTTAAAGATAAAAAATCTCTGAGCAGTTTCTTGGACCGATTTTTCGGATTCAAGAGCCCTTCCCAAATCTTCGTTTGCGAAACCTGGCCATGATGAGTATTCTTCCTGGATATAACTGTGATATATGTACATATATATCTTTGCTCTAGCTCTGCTATTTCGGTTTTTTTTTCTCTCTGGGAAGTAAGCTTTTTTCGCTGGGTCTCAGGGACTTGGCAGGAAGACAGGTCCAAAGCAACACATGGCTGCAGCACAGGGCTTGCTGCTGTGCCACCTCCTGGGGTGCTGGGCCTGGGAGGACACAGGGGTCCCAGAGTGGGGCACCGTGTGGGGACACAGGGATAACTGTGGCTGCCCAGGCTGGAGAAGAGAAGGTTTTGGGGTGACCTTCCAGCCCCTTCCAGTGCCTAAAAGAGGCTCCAAGGGAGCTGGAGAGGGATTCTGGACGAGGGCCTGGAGTGACAGGACAAGAGGGAATAGCTTCACACTGGCAGAGGGCAGGGTGACATTGGCAGTGGCCCTGAAATGGGGCGAGAAGGCTCAGGCAGCAGCTTGTCCTTTAGCCAAGGCGGCTTCTCCCAGGGAAAGCCCCATCCAGGGCTCAGCTTGTCCCACAAGCCTGGGGCCAGGGGTGCTGAGGGGGGAGCGTCCCGCTGCCTGCGGGACAGCCCAGGAAGGACACGGTCAGCTCGGCACACTCAGCACCGTGCAGCTGAAGGACACCAGGGCTTTGGGCACGTTGTTGCAACTTTATTCAGCCCCAGTCCTTTAGCCAAGGCAAGCTACACCTCTGCCGGGCTCACGGCCAGCAGCAGCGCAGTGCTCGCAGGAGGCCTCTTGGTCTTTGCTGCACGAAAGGACTCCTCAGAATGGAGGTTGTCCGAGCTGCCAGGGAGCTGACAGAGATGTCCCAGTCTTTCTCCAAGGGCTGAAGCGCTGTGAGGGAAAGAAACAGAGCCCAGATCAAACCCCACGACTGCAGAGAGCCTCTGGATTCCTGACAGACCACACTCCCCACTCACCGCTCAGGATGTCAGCCTGACTCTCCGTGGTCTGCTCCCTCAGGCGCCGTGTGATGAGTCCTGGGCACAGAGCTCCATTAGCCCCTGCTACCCAGCCTGCTCCCAGCAGCAGGGCCCCCAGACCTACCCTCCTCCCCCTCAGCAGAGCTGAGCCCAGGAGCCCCCAGAAGCTCAGGGCAGTGGGACTGAGCAAGGCGGCCACCAAGCCCCACTGCGTGGGCAGGGCTGGCAGAGGGAGGCAAGGCCCTGCCCAGGGTGGCCGGGGCTGGGGCAGCCCCAGGACTGCCCCTCGTTGCTGGGGTAGCAGTGGCACAGGGACCAGGCTGCCCCAGAGGCACCGCAGGGGCTGGCACTCACCGATGAACCTGACGGCCGCCAGGCGCACGTTGGCCTGAGGGTCCTGCAGGTAGGGCAGGCTCTGGTGGATGAAGTCTTCAGCCCTGCTCCTGCTGTTCTGAAGCTGCAGAGAGAACAAGGCATGTCTCTCCAGGGCTGTCACTGGGGCAGTTGGCTGGAGCAGTGCCTCCCGTCAGCACCCCCTGAGACGGAGAGGCCTCCCCTCCTGCTGGCTACAGGGAAGGGACAGGGGCCTGCAGAAGAGCCCTTGGGGCTCTGTTCTTGAGGGCAGCTGCAGAGCCCCCAGCCCAGACACGGGAGGGGGGGAAGCCCTCCCCCAGCCCGGGCCCCTCAGCTTGTCCTTACCAAGCACGCTCCAAGCTCCCACAGCCGCTCTCTCTGCAGCAGGTGCTTGAGCGTCTTCCACTTCAGCAGCTCTGCAGCAGCAAGAAGGGCTTCCCTGGAGGCCTGCAGGACAGCATGAGCTCAGGGATGGCCCGGGGGCCTGGGCAAGGAGACATCTTGGCTTTGTTCCTGGGGGATCCTGCCTTTAGGAAGCTGGGACATGCCCTAGCCCAAATGTCTGGGAGCCTTTTGGGGACAGCTCTGGGGGACAGGCGTGGAGACTCAAAGGCCTGGCCTCTGACGCAGCCTGTGGGGATGCCCCTGCTCAGGCCATGGTGGTCACGGGCTGCTGCCAAGCCCTGCAGGAGCAGGCAGGGCAGGTGTTGCACAGGGCCGTGCCAGCTTCTCTGGCCCTGCTGGCGCTGGCTCCGCACGGACCTTCCCACGGGCTGTGCTGGGAGAGCGCTGCCCACTGCCAGCAGCCCTTGCCCCGATGCCCAGGAGCCCTGGGGGTGTCAGCTCAGCCCTCTGTGTGTCAGGGCTCAGCCTTCAAACCTGTACCTTGGCCACGCTGGGGACCTGGTCGCTCATGCGGAAGAGGAGAGGCACCAGTGCTCGCCACACCTCCTTCCTCATCCTCTTCTCATCCCTGCCGACCACCAACTGCAGCAGCTCTGTGAGCATGCGGATGGAGAGCTCTCGCAGCTCACTGCACTCCTGGCAGGAAGCAGGAAAAGGGAGCTTTGCAAACAGCAGCTCCCTGCCCACAGTGAAGAGGGCCGTGATCATGGCTGCAGGGAGAGCAGCAGCTTCGGCCTCACATCCCAGAAGAAGCAGCACTGGGCTGCACGGCCCAGAAGCCATCCCAGGAGAGCCCAGGGGAG